AATAAAACATAAATAATATAAAAAATACTGAAATATCTACGAGTTTCACCAAACACGTTTTCAGTAAAAAGCAACCGGATGGAAATAGGTTGCTAGTTTGAGAGTCAAGTTCTTTTGTTGCATATCACTAACGGAGGCGCAAGTGGCCAAGCGGGTGCAAATGGGCGAGTTTCCTTAGCGGTTAGCACCCCTCTTATTTTAAACCCTTAAAAACGGGTTGAGCTGAGCAAGCACAGTTGGAATTCCCAAAAAATTGACTTTTAATATTAAATACAATAGTAACATTGTGTACGTAGCAGCTTTCATTGGGAGACTCATCAATCATTCTGGTGCGCCACAGCTGGTCGAGTCTGGAATAGTCGGAGCGAAGTCCCAGATACCAGGCGGAAAACCAAAAAAAAAAAATACAATAGTAATAGTAACAATAAATTATTTTATAAAATATACTTTTTTTTATAAAAAAAAATATAAGATATTAACTCTAGGATAAGAGATGATTGGTGAATATTGAAAATCCATTTTATAAAAATATGTTTATTTTATAATTAAAAATAATATAAATTATAAAACAACATAATCTTTTATTAATTAATGAATTTATTTTTCGTCCGGTCAATTTAGACCCTGAAATAGTAAAATGGGTGGGAAACGGTTACAGATTTAATGATTATAATGTTGCAATTAAGAGCCAACTAGATTGAATGACATCAATTTCTATCCTTTTTTTAATTTATATTTTATTTAAGAGTTGTGGCATAATGGACAAAAAATTTAAAAATAATGATGTAATTTAACTTATATTATTAAATGATTTAATGTATAATATAATATCATGAGTCTTAATAAATTAAAAAAATCAATTATTAAAAAATATAGGATCTATTTTTAATATTTTAAATAAAATAACTCATATTATCTTATAGATTCAAATTTTGGTCCATAAAATTTGTCTATTTTATCATTATTTGTTATCTAAAATTTTCTTATATTGAATTATAAATGAGAGATAAGTTTCCTCCAATCTTTTAATTTACCTCACTTACATATTATGTAATTTAAATTCAAAATCTTTTATTTTTACTAAAATAAAGCTACCACTAAATTATTAAAGTTGTTGGCTATATTTTAGTTTTTTAATTATATTACAATAGTTATATGGTGAGAATAATTATGTTTTAAAAAATTAGTGGAACAAAAATTAGGAATCTCTATGTCAAAAACAACCTCATTTCAAAAAATTAAGTGGATAAAAAATTAAAAATTTTAGTACTAAAAATTATATGATTTTAATAAACACTTTTAGAAAAAGATTTAGAAGTTATTTGGTATAGCGGTATGAAATTAGTAATTAATAGTTTTATCTAATATGATGGTTGATAATT